TAATAATAATAATATATTAATATACTATAGTAGTAATATACTAATATAGATATTGTATATTTATATAATATAAGTTATATAATTAATATATAATATTATTTTTATATATTAATATTAGGGATGTCAAACTGGCTCGTCGTTCGCGAACAGCTCGCGTTCGGTTCGTGTTCGACTCGTTCGTTAAGAAACGAACACGAGCTTATTTCAAACAAACTAAATTTTAAACGAACCGAACACGAACACAAGCTTTGTTCGTTCGACACAAGCTTTGTTCGTTCGTGTTCAGTTCGTTTACACCCCTAATCCTAGCCCAACGGCTCGTAAGAGTCCAACGGATGCTTTTAACGAATCTAATAAACTGGAAGCCATTTTTTGGATCAAAGCCTTCAAAGGCCTGTCCGTATCAACACCGGTCCGTGCTCACATCACAGCCGTTCATTTACGGGCCTGTAATCAGACGCCGGGATTTGAAGCACCGAAAGGAGCCGGAAAATGGCACGATGGTAAATTCAGGTCAAGCTCGTGTCCAGACTATTAATTGACAAAATGGGACGCCGTGGCTGCTTATGGCTGACTGGGAAATTGGGAAAACAAGAAGCATCTATCTTCTTCTCACCACTCTTGCTCAGTCAACGCCGGCGAGGAGAGAACTCCAGAAGAAAACGACAAGCGTCTGGTCTTACTCTTTTCAGTCTTTTGTCTTTTCTTCTAGAGCCTACGTGTGATGGCGTTTCTCTGATCGAGCGTTCGAGTCTTGAAACCATAGGAAATCCAGAGTATTTTTCGACGCTTTTTGCGATTATACTTTGGTCCACAGCCCCACGATCCGCCTCTCGGCTTTTCGAGATTGTGAGGTGGAGAGGGGAAGCTGTTGCTTGAAGAAAATTGTTGATCGGCCGAGTGGGAAGAAGAATGTCGAAAGTAGTATACGAGGGATGGATGGTGCGATTTGGACGGAGGAAGATCGGCCGTTCGTTCATCCACATGCGATACTTTGTGCTCGAGACTAGGGTTCTTGCTTATTACAAGAGGAAGTCCCAGGGCCACATGGTATGCGCCTATTTTTTTTAAGTTAATTATCATATATTTTCCCGGATTTTGGTAAGACTGGAGTTTTCGTGAGATGAATTGCTGGAACTGCAGGCTCATTCGAAGTTGTTGATAACTAGAGTTATGCCTTGACTAGAATTGAGTTGAATTCTACTCATGTTCATTGCTTTTTCAAATATGTTTCTGATATTCGTTTGAGTTTATATTTGACATTTTCAGGTTCCTATCAAAACGCTTTTCATAGATGGGAATTGTAGGGTGGAGGATCGAGGTCTTAAGATTCACCATGGACATGTAAGATTTGTACATCTTTTGCTGATCATGTCTTTCAAGTAGCAGTTATTTTTCTTAGACTTTTTCTTTTCATCCTGCTTGGTAGCGGTGCTGCAATTTCATACATTTTGTCTAATAGCTCAAGCAATCCTAAAATCCCGTTGAATTAAACTTTTTAAATTTTTCTTTTGAAAAGAAGTTTTCTTTCATAATGCAAGTAACGGCATTGCAATCTAAATTTTAGCCTCTATATTCTTCTTAGCGTAACACAATATTTTCTTAAATTTGATTACTATCATTCTTTGAGTATTATATCTTTATAATGTTAAATTATTCTGGCTACTGTAAAAGAAAAGCACCAAATGTTTTAAAAGTTATGTTTCATTTATTACAAAACTGGGATGACTTTTTATGAAGATCGTTATCCTTTTGTCGGTGAATTTTGTTGAAGGCGTTCTCTTTTGTTGGAATAACTAAATCTCTATGCACATAAAGCAGCAAGTGATGACAGCATATTTTTTTTCGAGTTCTAAAGTTTGAATTTTGCAGCACATATTGATGTCAGTAGTTATTACATTTGTATCTAATAACTAGTGTACTCTAACATGTAGCATTTGCTTGTTATTAAATTCTCATGTTCTAAAAAGAAGCTTTACAAAATTAGCATTTAAAGTTCATTTTAAAGGATCCTGCACTATGGCGTCTATAAGGTACCTGAGCTTGATGGGCAGATTTGATGGAGATTTTTGTACCACTAAATTATCATCATCATCATAATTATTTATATTATTATTATTGTTATGAGTTCTCACCAAATGTAGTTAGCTATCTATTTTCTTCATGAAAACTCTGATAACTGTTATGGTGCATAAGATAAACAATGTATCTTTCTCAATTCAGACCTTATGAACTACAGTAGGATCATATATTTTACATGCAGACGCTTACAAGCATTTAAGATTGTGATGCGTTTCATTTTGAAAAAAACTTTGTAGGTATTTAGCCACTATATAGCATTGGGTTTAGTTCATTAGGATACTGAGAATTTTAGTTAAGGTAGTAACCATTCATTATTTGCTTATGGAACCACACACAATATGAATATACCCCTGAATTTTTTTTGCTCTTTTTGTGTCAACTCCTATGTTCATATGTTTAGCCGTTGCTAAGTATTTTTTGCTCTTTTTGTCTTGACTCCTATGTTCATTTGTTTAGCTGTTGCTAATACGTACTGCAATTTGGTTTGGTCTGCAACTATTTGTTCTGCAATCATTGATGTCACTTAGTATGGAGATGATGGTTCAATGTGTACTTTGACTACGTATGCTTACTTTTTTTTTCTTTTTCTTGACAGATGGTATATGTACTGTGTGTATACAACAAAAAGGACAAGTACCATCGAATTATGGTGTGTATCTATCTTTTTATTTGTATGATTCTTTTGAATTTTCTTTTTGTAGGTTACATTTGCCACTCTTCCTTACCGAATTGCTTTTAGTAAGCTTAATTTTGGCACCATCATATTTTATCTTGTTCTAGTTCTCCGTTTTTTTTTATTGGTTGTTTCTCCCAACTCACACTTATTCTTTATGAAAAGTATGTTATGTAGAGCGAGTGACATATATATTGATGACATATAAAGCTACAACTTGCTCCATATCTAAATGATTCCTTTTCACTTGCTAAAATCTTAATGATGTCGTTCTAGGACTCTTGGAAGGTGTTAAGGAAGAGAACTTAGTGGGGTTGTGGTTGTGGAATGGTAAGAGGGTGAGAATAGAGGTGGTCGGCCATGTTTGGAAGGGGATATGAGTTAAATCTGTTGGTGGGAAGCATATTTGGGCTGTTCTGCGGTTGTCCCGGTTGAAAACAATGAAACAAACGTCAAAACAGCGTGATGCATGTTTTGGTTCTTTTTAATTCGGAGTTTTCAGCTTGTCTAATTTTTATTTTGTAGTTCTCTTTTTCAAATAACTCTCTTTCTTAGTTCATCAAAGTAATTCAGAGAAGAGGGATTGGAAAGAGAGGAGAATATAATGAAATCAGACAAATAAATTAAAAAAGAACTGTATAATTTTTATAAGATAACCTTCGTGTGATAATCATAAGTGTACGCCCTAAAGAAATCAAATTAAAACACTGAATTTATGCATGAAGATAATCCTATAGAAAATATCCACATATAGCTATATAATCAAAATTTTAATTTTTGTTCTAGGGTCAAGAGAAATTTCCAAAGAAATGTGTTCTTTTGGTTAATTACATGTTGGGGGTATCTAAGAATACTCTCGATTAAAAGCAGTCTTGCTTTCATTTTTATGATAACTAGTGAATTAAAAAAAAATCAAAAGGTAATGTGATTATTTCAACTGGGATCATCACATCATAAGAGTAGAAGGTGAATCACTGTATTCCGAAAGGACGGTGACCTATTAGCAAATTGAGCCTAGGAAATAACAGTCATCTCAAATAGGACTATCTCGATGATTCAAAGCCATATCGGACCATAATGGTAGAGAGTGAATGACCGTATCCCAAACGGGTAGCAGCCTATTGACAAACGAGACCTATGAAATGTTCTCAGTGATAAGCCAAGGGGAACAAAATGGACTCAAAGTGGGCATATCAATGAGTAGGAAAGAAATTCCTAAGCGAATATAGGTAGCCAAGTCGGGACTTCATGGATTTGTCACCCCAAACTATTAAAACTCTTCGTCTACCTGATTGTGAAGGTAGTTGACCCAATCAACCAGAGATCTCTTGTTAGCAGCATATATGTTACGTCGTCCCTAGAAATTCCGATAGTCCTAAAGTCCAGGGATATAAACCTCTATTTCCCGTTGACCCCTATTTAGGTGAAATTCATAGAAGTGAGACTTATTCTTGTCAGGAAAGTGGTCAGGAAGCCTTTGGAAAGAAAAAGAAAAGAATTATTTGGCTAAAAAGTCGAGCCATACCACAAAAGACGTACGCATCATGGTCGAGGAGCCTTTAACAACTTACTCATTCTAAACAACCTCATAAGAATATAAATTTATGCTTAGCCAGTCAGATTGGAGGAGCGATAATACTTCTCTTAGGGACACACATATATGATGCAATTGTTTAGAGTATTTCTTAATGGGTGATGTCCATACATGCAAAATTATTTTAAATTCCACCAGAAGGCTATGCTATAAACAATAAAGTAGAAAGTAAAGTGTTGATTTTAAAATTGGTTTGATTTTAATCCTAAATTTTAAATTTTTTATTATTTGGATTTTATAGGAATCATTTTGCCTTAATGAAATTAAGCGCATATGCGAAAAGCTCAGACAAACCTCAGAATAAAACAAAAATTTTAACACTCTGCAATGAAAGTAAATAAAACACATGAATAAAAATAATAAAACAGGTTAGGGACCTCTAAGTCGGCAACATATCCCATAAAGATAAAAAAACAGTCAGGCTCCACATATAAATATCCGATTCTAATACTTATACAATAATATGAATTTGAAATTAAGACACGAGTCACATACACACTACTCATAGTCCTTGCCGCTCGGTTTCACACATCAAATTTCTTAGAACCGATGCTCGTATCTTATTCCTGATATAAACACAAAGCTAGGACTCTAAATAAAAATACAAGGGAAATTCAAAAAAGACTTGACCTTCATTGAAAAGGTTAGCATAGATTCTCTTATGCAATCGTATAATGAACCATGCTTGATGGGAGGAGAGTTAAGCAGTGCATGCAGAAAAGACATTAGCTCAAAGCATGATTGCGTCTCCCTGTTGGACATGGCTCTCTACAAAACGATTGTTTCGATATACTAGTGCGCACAATTCACACCAAGTAAACATATAAAGGGTAACATACAAAATGTCTGACTAGGCACAAACCAAGGAACAATAGCCAGACATATGAAAATCTTAACCACACCTTATCTTATATAGAACATGACGTCCTAATCACATACACCTATGTGTGTGTAAAATGTGTGGTTAAGGTTGATGCGTGATTTTAACGGTATCACCTGTCACGACCCACTCCGAGAGCTTGGAATTACTAAAGCGAGAACTAATGGTCGGACGAAGGAGACCTATTCAACAGTCTTATTTCTTAGCAAAAAAATAAAAACCATTGCACAAACAAAATCATTCTATTTAAAAAACTTATATTTACAATAGATTGTTCATATTTAAACATTTACATTTAACAGAAAATAAACTAAACTGCAATACCTATCACACGTCTTCTTAGGGTCCATCTAATCTACAACTGATTTTCCTATAAAAATATTAGTAACTCTAGTTTGAATTAAAACTATTCAGCGGGTAAATGTTTCTAAATTACGATAATTCTCTTTTTAAAATATTTTGCAAAAGAGCATTAAAAGTAAAAACCTGTGCAGAAAGAAAACAATTTTATTTTCTTTTATTTATTTAGGTTACATTTTTCATAATTGAGAGTCACCGTCTAAACATATAGTTTTAAAAAAATATCAGTTTAACTATTTTCAACCCACCATAAAAACAGACATTCATTTTTCATTTTCATTTCAATTTTCGTGCACAAGTACATTACATTCTCATGCCAGTAACATCCAAAGATGGTTTTTATATGCATGTATATAACATATTTTATTCATTTTTTTTATTTAATATTCAAAAGAAAAATTGTATTTAACATTTAAAATCAAACTTGTACTTTTGCATTTAAAATAAAGTTGGAAATAGTAAATAGACAAAACTATTGTGAAATAAAATACATTTATCCACCTTAATAGTATCATTTGCTATTCTCTTCCTCAGGTCAGTCTAGTCCTTATGTTCACCTATAATAATAATTTAAATATAATTAATTTATTGTTCAGTACTAATTTTCTCTCATATTGCTTCTAAATTTTCTATCATTAGTTTCATAATTTCTTTATTTAGTTAGCTATTTCTTTATATATATATATATATATATATAT